GGTGATTTAGAACAGGCCCCGGATCGAAATAAACTTCAAGTCTCATCGAGAACGAGGTAAGTAACGATTCCCTCGGTGATATATACGATCTTTCGAGTTTTGCGAGTTTGGTTGCGTGTGACGTTTGACTAGGTATAGATCTTTCTTCCGCTGCATGAAACCTAGTAAACCAAATCCTAGATCGATATGATCGCATGCTAGGAACCTGTAGATAACCCCAACAATATTTTGTGATAATAAATCAGCAGTAATTTACTCCAATAACAACATGAGCTCTTCAAAGTCAAAGCATATTGACATAAAGTTCCTAGTTGTTAAAGAAAGAATACAGAGTGGTCAATTAAGTTTAGAACACATTGGGACAATTTCCATGATTGCGGATCCATTTACTAAAGCTCTACCACCCGCGATCTTTCATGGGCATGTTGCTCATATGGGTGTTATATCATTTGATGATATGCGACTTCAGTGGGAGCTGGTGTTCTGCTTATGTACGGAATAATTTTCTGCAGAATAAGGTTTATTGTGTTTTTTACTCTGTATAATAAATAAAATTTGATCTCCATACGGTTAAGGAAGACCAGTTGGAAATAGACATGTATAGATCACATAACATGTAATTTCCATACTTTACACCTACATTTTGATCTACGTCGTTGAATTTTGTTGACATATGTGATCATAGAAGGTTCAACTGCGAATAATGTGGTGAAAGCCGCTATGGTTCTATATTAACATATTCATGGACAAGATTGTTGAAATGGTTTATAAAATAGCAAAATTATGAGCTCGAAGGATAATGCATATCATTTAGGAATTATGAGTGTTGCTCCAAGTGGGAGATTGTTGGGATTATTTCAATAATCATATAGACCAACACTCTAATCAATTAAGATATGTATTATGTGCTATTTTACTTAGGTCATATTTGTGATCTAAGGACCTAAAATGATTGCATGATTTAATCGTTAAATTGCATGTAATCATTGAATCTATGCATGTTTAATGATATTTGTGATTGTTGAATGATGCATGGATGGTATGGAGTCTGGGACGGGTTAATGGTGCGTCGAAACCGGGACAAAACCCTGATTTTCGAAGCCCGAAAAATCTGTTTCGAATCTGATTTGTCTGCGGTCAGCCGGACCAAGAGTTGGTCAGCCGGACTAGCAGACAGATCAGATTCCGGACCGCGTGTTTGGTCAGGAGGACCAAAGTTCTCGCTGGTCAGCCCCGGACCAAAAGTTGGTCTGGCGGATCAGGCGAGAACAACACAGGTCCGAGACGAAGACCGGCGGACTGACCAAGGAAACGGACTGAGTTGGTCCGGAGCTGACCAAGTTTGGTCAGCCCCGGACCAAGCCCAGATGGTCTGCGCTCCGATTCCAGGTCAGCTCAGACCAAGGAAACGGACTGAGTTGGTCAGGTAGAACATATCTGTTGCAGGAATCTGTTTTATCTCACCATGCGATCTATCCTTATGAAAGATAAGCCTCTGACCACGGTTTCTAGATCGATCATTGATGCTTATTGGAAGCATGAGGATGATGATCTGGATGTGTCCAGCTTGATGCTTGGAAAGATGTCTTCGGAATTGCGTGAGCAATTAGATGACATGGACAATTCATTGATGGTTGATCAGTTGAATATGTCATTCCAAGAGAAAGCTGGGAGCCAAGGGAAGAATGATATGGTAGTTGTTGGAAAGAGTTCCACCAAAAGGAAACGTTCCGAGGGCAAGGGCAAGAGAAAAGTGGCAAGCGTTGTCATTGAACCTAAGCCTGAGTCCAAGAAGGAAGAGTGTTATTTTTGTCATGCTGTTGGGCATTGGTATAGAAATTGCATACTCTACCTGGAAGATCAGAGGAAGAAGAAGCTTGCAGAAGCTTCAACTTCCGGTATCTTCGTTATAGAGGCCAACTTATGTACTTCTTCATCATGGGTATTAGATACCAGATGTGCCTCGCACATTTGTGCAAATGTGCAGGGACTGCGAGAAAGTAGACAATTGGCAAAGGGAGAAGTAGATCTCCGTGTCGGGAATGGAGCAAAAGTTGCTGCATTGACCGTCGGGACTTATGATCTGACTTTACCTTCTGGCCTTGTATTAGAGTTGCATGATTGTTATTTTGTACCTGCCATCAGTAGGAACATCATATCGATTTCATGCTTAAACTCAGATGGTTTCAGATTTGTTATTGAGAACAAATGTCTGTCCATTTATAGAGGCGATTTATTCTATGGTAAAGGTTACCAGTTTAATGGCCTTTATATTTTGGAAGATGAACCATCTGGATACAGGCCGATCTATAATGTTAGTACCAAGCGGTTTAAGCCGAACGACTTAAACCCGACCTATCTCTGGCATTGTCGACTTGGCCACATCAACGAGAAACGCATAGCGAAGCTTCATTCTGATGGACTTCTTGATTCTTTTGATTATGAATCAATCGAAACATGCGATTCATGTTTGATGGGCAAGATGACAAAATCTCCTTTTTCTGGAAAAGGAGAACGGGCTACAGAGTTGCTAGAACTCATACATAGTGATGTATGCGGTCCTATGAGCTCTCCCGCTAGAGGAGGTTATCTGTACTTTGTTACGTTTACTGATGATTTCAGTAGGTACGGTTATGTCTACTTGATGAGACATAAGTCTGAAACGCTTGAATTGTTCAAGATTTTCAGAAACGAGGTACAGAACCAACTTGGCAAGACGATCAAGTTGCTTCGATCTGATCGAGGTGGCGAGTATATGAGCCAAGAGTTCACTGACTATCTGGCAGATTGTGGGATTGTCTCACAGCTGACTCCACCTGGAACGCCACAGTGGAATGGCGTGTCTGAGAGGAGGAACCGGACCCTATTAGATATGGTACGGTCTATGATGAGTCAGGTCGATCTTCCTAAATCCTTCTGGGGATATGCTTTGGAAACAACAGCGCTTATACTGAACAACTGTCCAACAAAGTCGGTTCAGAAGACTCCATATGAGATATGGACTGGGAAGCGTCCCAGGTTAGCATTCATGAAGATTTGGGGATGTGA